AGAAGTAAGTGGAATAGAACAAATTTCGGAAAAGGGAAATTTTTTGAATAATTTTAGAAATCACTCACATTGTGCGCGTACAAACACACACACAGAAATGCTGGTGTCATGAGGAAAAGAGAAAACCCGAGCAACGCTGGGCTAAGCGGTGGAGGGGGGATGGAAGTCATTTTGAAAATGAGTATTAGAAATTCTGATTTTGTGAAAGAAAGGGAAAATTTATAAAAGTAGAGATAGCCCGTGCAACGCCGAGCCATGCAGCTAGTTAACATTAAGGATCAAATGGCAATTTATTATTGACAGAAAGCATGGATTTCATTTAGAATTATGTGAATTTACGAATTGCCAATTCATAAATTCGTAAATGTACGAGTATAATTGTAAATGTTGAAAGAGAAAAATACTTGCATTTAGAAATGTTTACGAAAAGAAAAGAAAGAAATCGGCGCTTTTGGTACTTTAATGCCAAAAAAAAAAAAAAAAAAAAAAAGATAGAATACTTCGCTGAAATCTGCATTATTTTTGATACTATACTTTAATTAACATAACAAATAGTTAACTCCTTATGATTCAATTTAATTAACAATTTTTAAAAGAACAAACATATTTCACTATTTTGAATTTGATAAAAACACTTTTATAGCTATTTTTGGGGAAATAAGTGCATAAAATAGTATCTATTTATCACTTGTCTTTATTTTAAGTGAATTATTTCATAATACAAAATAGTTCTTTAATTTTTCATAATAATTAGTTCTCTGAAATATTGGTGAACAAAATTGTTATGTTTGAAATGTCTAAATATATAATTACCTAATGATTTAATTTTTCAGTACGCTGACAGTTTTAATTTCAATCCTCACAAGTGGTTACTAGTTAACTTTGATTGTTCCGCTATGTGGTGAGTACAGAAGTCCATTTCGAACTCTTTACTATTGTATAATAAAATAGTCTGTAATTTGTCGCCCATCCGGTATAGTGGTTAGCGACGCTGACTGCTGTGCCGTTGGGACTGGGTTCGAATCCCGGAGAAGACATGGATGTTTGTAAATGTATAGTGCCTTCGCGGCATAGGGGTACTTTAAACAGCCATCAAGCCGCGAGTCCTCTCGTGAGGTTGGTGGGAGGCCCCTGACCACCTCAGGGTGTTCTCCCTCTAAATCGGGGTGAAACCGAGCTAAATAATTCTGTCACCTGTATGGTGCTCAAAGCTACGGCTAAGGACAGGCGTCACTTAGTCCTTTATCCTGATGAATTTCGTGGGCCTTGATCTGGCCTTTGCCTATCAGGTGGCATTAGTAACAACAACAGCCTGTAATTTTGAATTCAGTTTCATGATGTAAGTGTTTCTTGATAATTTGTACGCTTTGTCATTTTTATTTTTATTATTCTAGGGTTAAAAACCGAATGGAAATCACTGAAGCATTTTCAGTCAATCCAACTTATCTGAAACATGACAAAGAAGGACAAATTCCAGATTACAGGGTATGTTTACGATATTCAGACATTTGAATCTTAACATCTGTACTTGATTTAGGAATTAAGTGCACTTGATACATAAATGCTTTCAATGTAAATATTAAAATAAATGCCTCCCCCCTTTAATTTTTTCTAGTTTGAACAATTAAAAAATAAAATACTGAATGTCCAAACTTATTTTATTTACTTAGTGATGTCTGGAAAGCCCAGTGGTTGAGTGGTAGCGTATCGCTCTTCACGCAACCAGGTCTGGTGTTCAAGCCCCGGGCTGACCCAGCTCCCTTCCATTTCATTTTCATCCCTTCCGTGTGTCGATAAAAGCCTGCTTGGAAATTAAACACTGGGGGTTTCAAGTCAGACTGCCCACCTGACCATAGCATCTGCTCATGCACCTCAGTGCCCAAGGTCAGAAAAACTGAGATGGGCATAGCAGGCCTTGGTCTGTTATGGACTTTTTAAAAGTATCTTTTCAAGAAAGGAATAGCAATTTATTATTGTTAACAGAACTTTAAATAATTAGCATCATTTTAATTTCTGATACATAAAGTTGTAATCAGATTATAGCAACAAAATACACTAAGTTGATTCCAATTGTGATAAGTTACATTCTATGCCTATTTTAAATGCATTAAATATATGAACTTGGATTTAATTAGGTATTTTGATCGGATAAACTATATATTTTTTATTCCGTAATACGTATTTATCAGTGAATTTAATTAACATAGATACGAGTATCTAGGCTTTATCCAGAAAGAAAATTTCCCCCATTCTAATGAAAGTATCAAATGCTGATATTCAAAATATTTGCGATTTCTTAGAATGTTTTGCGAAATTTCCCTATGCATCTATAGCATTTATCACCCATTTCTAACTATTAAGATTGAATTTAGAATCATGCAAGTAAAGTGACTAAGAATAAAATTTACTTTCATGGAATAAAAGTTTACATGGAAAGAATCAGAACTTAGAGCTTATTAATTTAACGAAGCAACGAGTGACCTGCGTTGTTTGTTAGATAAAAAATAATTCAGTTAGTATTCTGATTATATTCGAGCAGTTAAGATAGTTTTCATCACGTTGATAATGTTTTCTAATCCAGATTTGATAATACTACAATTTACCTATGTAAAACTTACAGAAATGTATATAAAATAATGAATGCACTATGCGTTAAGTCCCTCACCAGCCACATACACAAACCGGCAATCAATTTCAAAATAAACGTTGACTGAATTTAATGTAATAACTGTACTTAAATGTATGAACATAAAATGAAATGAATTTGATATCCAGTTTTACATACTTTTTTTCAGCATTGGCAGATACCTTTGGGGCGTCGATTTCGCTCTCTGAAACTATGGTTTGTCTTGCGGATGTATGGAATAGAAGGACTGAGGAAACATATAAGGGCGGTGAGTTGAAACATACATCACAACCTCCGACACAGGGACGCATGTGTTAGCAAAACCTTTAAAATGTGGAAATAGATAAAGAAAAGCCACTTTTTCAATTCCTACTATTAGCTCACCTCTCCATATATTTATTAATTTATCTTGTTGGAATTTTCAATCGTTGACAAAATACCTTTTAAAGCACTCGAGCTGAAATTTTACATACATGATTATTTTGGATGACAATACAAACATTTAATTATAATTAGTAAAAATTAATTGATTAAAACTAATTATTTAAAGAATTACAAATACAGCCACGTTGGCATCATTTTTGGTGACTTAGTGACCATTTTGGCGATTTGTGTCAAAACTTGAAAATGCTTTTTTCTCACATTTTAAAGCATTCAGTTGAACTGAAATTTTATATACACGAGATTGTCTGGATGACAATACGATACTTTAATGATAATTAATAAAAATTAATTACCACTTAATGTTGTGATCCTGTCATATGTATATATATATTTATATTAATTGCAACTATTCAATAAAAAGTAGCTAAAGTAAAGTTTTTCTTTGTTGATTTAAGTAGGAATTGACAAAAAAATTTTTTTATATTACTGGTGCTCTTGTTCTCTCATAGTTTTAATATCTAACTGATGCTTTTATTAAACCGATTTGATTAGGTGAAAAGTAAGGAATTCTTAATAAGCATAATTAAACTCTTCCAGATAATACTAATAATAAAACCTTGTTGTTTTTTATTATTTTGTCAAAGGTTGACAAGGTATGAACTTTCAAAATGGTATGTGCAATGATTACACAGAATACAAATTTGGATAATACAAAATGTTATTTGTAGCAAGACCTAAGAAACAAATTTTCATTCATAGATTCAAATGTTTAATTTCTGAAGCAATTTTCAAGTTTAATCATGTTCTGTTACAAAATGAGATAACCAATAAAATGCGTTATTAATAAATTGTGAAAATATTAGCCGTAAACTAGCAATAATGTTGTTCAAAAAATATCTTTTAAAAACAGGCGTAGTTCAAAAAGAAAATCAAACAGTTTAAAAAACAAATAATATATATCTATATGTGGGAGTCCGAATAAAATGTTCGAATTAAGATCAGACTCTTCAGAAGTCGGGATTTTAAATTAGCGAGGTGGTTGTCTAGGGGTAAGTATTAAAGGGTTAGTGATGAATTAATTGAATCAAAGTCATTTAAACACAGATGCTTCATTTAAGTAAAAAAGAATTTATTTCAAGTTAAAGGGGGGGAAATTTACAAAGGGAAAGAGACATGCAGAAATTAGATTAATTGAAAGTTGAGTTATACCTTTAGAAGACGGGGAAATTAATTACCTTTTTCATGGTTAGACGCTTGGACTGATATCGCGCTGGGCGCGAAATGCGCGAAAAACGTGACGTGTTGAACCGGTGGTGGTTAGTAGGCCTCTGCTGAAAAATTATTCAAGCCGGAGCTCCGAAAGCTCACTAGACGGGGCTGCTTCGGAATGCAGTAATTAATAAAATTGACATTAATAGTCCTCTGAAAAGGATATGACTCAACCTTTTTACAAAATGTTTCAAACGGAAAATCCTATATATATATATATATATATATATATATATAAATTAAATATAACCTCAATTCCTATTTTGTTAGAAAAACGTACTGGCGCGATCTGTTGCAATTAGTTGTAACTACGACAGAAATAACGTAGAATAAATTTAAAATTAAAAAATAAAATTTAATTAATAAATTAATATTTAAAAAAACTATATTAACATCAAGTGTCATCCACTACAAGTTTTAAAAAAATGCATTTGAACTTGAATAGATGAATAGAAAGTATTTTATTAATGATTGAAAATTTGAATAAGATATATATGGATAAGAAGAGAGTGAACCGTTGTTGTTGTGTGTTTATTATCCTGGGAACATATGAAATACAAGAGAAGAACAGAAAGCATACAATACAAACAGAAAAATATACATATTTATTACAGATGATGATCCCAGCATATAACAAGAAGGGGTGATGTGCTTTCCTTTCGAGACGGGAATCCATTTCAGGTGAAAAATACCGACTTCTTTCCCGAAGAAGATACTAACATGTCTTACTCGGGATTCGAACCCGAAACCACTCGGTTGCCAGCCGAGGGTCATAGCCACCTTACTGGCTGGACGACAGACAGTGAACTAAAGCAGGAATTTAAAAAAAAACCGACTTATTTTTGTCTTATATGCAAACTTTTTTTTACTTAAAATAATCACCAGTTTTTTAATTATATTTTTTGGTACAATTTAATTCTGTGTAGATTATTTAACTTGTTAAATTGTGACATCCACTTAATATTTATTGTAAATTTTGTTTATAAATATAATTTTTCCTTACAGCAAGTACGCTTGGCAAAAGAATTTGAAAAATACGTGGAAACGGACAACAAATTTGAAATTGTCACCCCCGTGCATCTAGGACTTGTTTGTTTTAGACGTAAGGTACGTTACTTAAAAATTTATTTGATTATTCGTAACTATATTTCTTATCTTATGATTTTTTTTTTAATTTACTACATTGACATGTTTTGAGGAACTATTCAGTATTTAGTCCTTTGTATTGTTCCGTGTCAACCGATATTTCGTCTTAAGCGTTTTCGCGTTAAACCTATTTCACTGTAATACCGGGTGAATAAAAAGTCCGTAAAAACTTTAAAAATTTATAAAACCTAGAAATAAAAACAAAATAAAAGGTGTACAACTTTGCTTCCGCCGTTTTGCAATAGATGGCTGTAGCGGTAAGTGGAAGTCGAAATAAATAGATCGTAGATGTCATACAATAAGCTTAGGTATTTGCAAACATAACGCCATCGAAATATTAGTCGATTTGTGTCTGCATCATAAAGTTATTCTCCATTAAACATGTCAGCTTACGAGCCAAATTCTCGTCATTTGCGGGAGGTTTTAGTTTTCTGCTTTAAGATGAAGAAATCTGCGGCTGAGGCTCATCGAATGCTCTCAAATACCTATGGTGAGGCCGCTATTAGTAAAAGAACGTGCCGAGAGTGGTTTCAACGCTTCAAGAACGGTGATTTTGAAGTCGAAGACCAGCATAGCGGCGGAAGAGAGAAGGTTTTCGAAGATGCAGAATTGGAGGCATTACTTGATCAAGACTCGTGTCCAACGCAACAAGAATTGCCAGGTTCATTTGGAGTGACGCAACAAGCCATTTCAAAACGCCTGAAAGTCATGGGAATGATTCAGAAATAAGGAAATTGGGTGCCGTACGAGTTGAAGCCGAGAGATGTTGAACGACGCTTGTTTGCTTGTGAATAGCTGCTTGCAAGGCAAAGACCCGAGGGATTTCTGCATCGCATTGCGACTGGGGACGAAAAATGGGTTCGTTACGATAATCCCAAGCGCAGAAAATCATGGGGATCTCCCGGCCATGCTTCCACGTCGACGGCCGAACCGAATATTCACGGTTCCAAGGTCATGCTCAGTATTGGGTGGGACCAGCTCGGCGTAGTGTATTATGAGCTGTTAAAACCGACTGAAACAATCACAGGCGATCGTTATCGAACGCAATTAATGCGTTTGAGCCGAGCATTGAAAGACAAACGGCCGCAATACAACGAGAGACATGATAAAGTGATTTTACAGCATGACAATGCTCGACCCCATGTTGCAAAAGTGGTCAAGACATACTTGGAAACGTTGAAATGGGAAGTCCTACCCCACCCGCTGTATTCTCCAGACCTTGCTCCCTCGGATTATCACTTGTTTCGATCAATGGCACACGGCCTGGCTGACCAGCACTTCCGGTCTTATGAAGAAGTAAAAAATTGGATCGATTCCTGGATCGCTTCAAAAGATAACCAGTTTTTTCAATTCGGGATTCGTACGCTGCCCGAAAGATGGGAGAAAGTAGTGGCCAGTGATGGACAATACTTTGAATCATAAATGTATAATCAGTTTTTTTTTACAATAAAGCCTCAAATTTCGGAAAAAAACGGCGGAAGCAAAGTTGTACACCTATTACAAAACGGCTTGCAGGCTCAGCATCGATAAGTTACGGGATTTTTTTAAGATAAGAAAAAGAAGAAGAAAATCAAAAAGCCACCGGTAGATGGCGTTTCGTACATAAGTGAAAGAAAAGACTCGCAAATAATCGAAATAACGTTACCAAATCATTCATTACAGCAGCATATGTTCCACATATCCACCACCACAAGGGATGACACATTCCAACGTGTCACAAATCCAGCAACGGTAGAGTGCAGAATGTCTGTCTGTATACAGGACAGCTCTCGGTGGATCGCATCTTTCAATTCCGAAAGATTAGATGGACGGGATTAATACACTCGGGAATTTTAATATCCCCACAGCCAAAAGTTTATTGGAGTCAGATCTGGAAACCGAAGTGGTCATGTAAACTTGCAACGTTTGCTGATGATTCTTAGACTTGGTCGTTCGGATCTTACACAATCCTCCAGTGATCCCGTTACCTCAAACCACTGAACAAGCTTTATGAGGCGTATCACTGTTGCAGGTCCTTTTCCAGTCTTCACATTTTTCTGAAGTCGGAATTTACGCAATGCAACAGTCACTGATTCCTTGTTCATGAAAAATAGCTTTACCAATAAAGCTTTGACTTTTTCACTCAGCATCCTTGTTCACTTAGTAGGCATGTAACAGAGAATTAGATCTGGATCAAGAGCATCAGTGTTTGCAATCGCCTGTCTCATTTGTATACGTCCAACTTAGTCGTTTGTACCAGCGCCATCTTTCGGCAGGGTTTTTATTCTTATCTTAGAGAAAAATCCCGTGATTTATCGATGCTACACCTGTAAACCGTTTTAAATTTTTGTTTAATTTTTCCGGGTTTTATAAACTTTTAAAGTTTATGCGGACTTTTTGACCACTCGGTATATAAAAAGATACAGAAATAACATTTGCTCAACTCTCCATTTTGATGTGCTAAACTTGGTTCCTTAAGCCTATTTTTCTTCTACAGGGTCCCAACTCTGCAAATGAAAGCCTCATGAAACGCATCAACGACCGCCGTAAGATCCACATGACCCCAACCATCGTCCGAGATTCATTTATCCTGAGATTTGCTGTCTGCTCTCGATACACTACTTTGGAAGACGTCGATTTCGCGTGGAGAGAGATCCAGCTGATTTCATCTGGAATGGTCCCTTAATAAAAGCTTTCATTTAACCGCCTTAATTTTTTATTTTCAATGTGCTATTCATGGATGGACTAACGTGCTGGATACCAAGTGGATGACATTTCTTTTCTGTTGAAACGTTGCTTTTTTTAGATTATTAGTGTTAGTTAATATAGTAGGAACATATATGTGTGGCTTGTCTAGATGCTGACTTTTTTTAAAATCTTATTACTTATTATGTTGAGTTTGGTGGTTACAATGCAATCTCTGTTATGATATACTAAAATTCGATGTAGCGTAGAGACCCCTGCTTGAGTTTTATTTTGATACAAAAAGTTATTAAGATCAAGCATGAAAAAATGCACATTTAATCACATAGGTAATTAATTAAAATGCATAAAAATGTCTGAAATAATATAAATTTTATTTTAAATTATAAATAATCTCCATATTTATTGCAAGGCAGGATTTTTAATGTTATTCTGTACACTTCTGGAAGTCATGAAAAAAATTTAATCAACTTCAGATTAAATATATAACTGGTCTTAAAATATATTAAGGATAAAGAAAGATAAATAACTAGCCCATTTCTCAGTTAATAAGAAACTTCTAAATTATAAGTGTTCATCCAATATGATATGTGAAAAATTGATTTTTTACTGAAATTTGTGACCGTTATTCACACTATATTGTAATCTATGACTTCCAATAAGAATTCAATACCTAATTTGTATTGCTTTCGTATGAAATTGAAGAGATCAAATTACATTACTCTCACTCTCGTTATTGTACAGCATTTTACACTAAGCGAATTGAAACACCAAGTGTTTTTTTTTTTACAATTTTTGTTAGGTGAGAGATAATACACGAGATTGTCAACAAACATGTCCTCTATATTGTATTAAAGGTTAAATAATGTTATTATGGTATAGAAAGTAACATAATACTACGTAAAACGTAAAGTAATGTAAAGTTTATAAATAAAGATTATAAATATTTACTCTATTAAAAGTTTTCCACTGAAAAGAATTTTACGTGCAGAATAACAACTGACAACATTCACAATTTTTAACAAGAGTCTGTGATCTTGAAGCACTAAACAGATCATTCACAAACAGTTAATGTGATATTTAGGCGTTTTAAGTTTTAAATGTTACAGTTATGTAAAATATTCTCTCTATGACGTTATCTTCAAAATCAGCATTAATATCGATATTACCTGAAAACAAATAATGTTACGTTGGTTCTAAATTAGTAAATTTCTTCATTCTTCGTCTTAAATATTGAATTGAAGTTAACACAACTAATTTTGTGTGGATAGAAAATTTAGTGTTGTGAAAAAGTCATACTCTAATTTACATATTGAGTCATATTGATTAGAAAGCTTTTTAAATATTGGCAACTTTATCAGAAATGGATCCACTTAAATTATGAAACCATTTTATGTATAAATTGAGTGCATATAATCTTCAGAAATACTTATTTTTTAGTGTTATTTATGAAAATAAATAAATAAAGGGGCTCAATATATTTTGATCAAATAAAAATGATTAATAGAAATGTGCGTAATTTTTATAGTATCACATATATAACTTTTACATTCATACTTTTCTATACAGATAATTAAATTCGAAATAAAAAAATATTTGAAACTATTTTAATACCACTTACAATATTGCTGTTCAAAAAATTCGTTCCTTTGATAAAAATACCCTTCAATGCTTTATCCGAATAAAAATTTGGATAAAGCATTTGCGAGCGATTTTCTAAGTAAGCCAATGGACAAAAATTTGATGCCGATTAGACTTTTGAGAGATTGTATTAAGAGATCTAAGTTAGTAGTGATTTATATTATTATTGTGTTTTCTAGCTATGGATATTGTATTGCAAAGAACGCTATTTTTAATTTAATTGTTTAGAAAGTATTGATGTATGTATATCTGATGTATGTCTGTTATATGTGTTTAATAAATAGATATTTAGTTACATATATAGAAAAGATTTCGAGGAAGTTTGTTTTGTT